CGTCCGTATTAACGAGGGCACGCCGACTACCCTACGCCATCGGTGTACATGTATGAACATGATCGCATGTTTGAATTCGCGCCCAATAAAGCTTCCCCTAAGGGACGCGAACCCACAGTGATGCGAGGCACACACTTCAAACACTACTTTTTTAAGGCAGTGCTTTTAGCCCATTGCGCCACACCTCAGACAGATTTAAGTTATAATTAATATTATCAAGGAGAGTCTATGTTTTTACATGCTTAAATGTTTAGCAAATTAGTTGTGCTAATGAGCATGTGCAAGTGTGTTTGAAAATTATAAGCAAGGTCAATTTTTTGGACAATCGCTGTATGCTTTGTGTGTGCCATCTGAATGACCATAGTTATACCAAAATGTGTGTTTAAAAAAGTTATGCAAAATAAAAATATTCTAAATATTAATATACACTAATAAAATATACTATTCCAAGCTGTTTCAACGAGTGTAGCTCATGAACGGATAATCCAAATTTGAGTCTGTCTTCAGTAAACTAAATAAAAACTCCCCAGAAATGACATATGTAAATGGTTTTAGCATGTCTCTAAAATTCATAGAGAAAATTACAAAAAGGCAAAATTATAACAATTTTTAACATTTTCTACATTGAAATACATGTTAAATTCAAACTCAATTTTAAGTTAAAAAATTTAACATAACTTATGTGATTTTTTATGCTGATTCCGAATATGAAATTGAAATTTTTGTATCGTGAATATTTTTTGAGTTATAAGATGTTAGTCTTTAATCAACAATGTTTTAAAATTTTAAAGTTGAAAAATTTTAAAAATGCTAACTCAATTTTAAAACTAATTTGTTACAATTAATAGGAAACACATTCTAATTTCACCTGTTGCATTAAATCATCAAAAATTCAACTTTAAAATTTTAAACCATTGTTGATTAAAGACTAACATCTTATAATTCAAAAAATATTCACGATACAAAAATTTCAATTTCATATTCGGAATCAGCATAAAAAATCACATAAGTTATGTTAAAATTTTTAAATTAAAATTGAGTTTGAATTTAACATGTATTTCAATGTAGAAAATGTCAAAAATTGTTATAATTTTGCATTTTTGTAATTTTTTCAATGAATTTTAAAGACATGTTAAACCCATTTACGGAGGTCATTTCTGGGGAGTTTTTATTTAGTTTACTGAAAACAGACTCAAATTCGGATTATCCGTTCATGAGCTACACTCGTTGAAACAGCTTGGAATAGTATATTTTATTAGTGTATATTGCTACTGAGTCAGTAGTACTGACATTATACTATGCTATATGAAATAAATTTTAAAATTATTATTATTATAAATCAAATTATATGCTTAACAAGTAAGTTGCATAACAAATAAAACAAAAATCCAGTTTGCTATCTTTATATGAATAAATTTTTTATGTAATTTTTAATATAATTTTTTATGTTTAATCATTAAATACCCATAAAGTTAGGCGCGTGAATGTAATTATGTTGTGTTAAATTTAACTTTGTTATAACTTTGAAAATTGTGGCTCAATTATTACCATATTTCAAAATAAAATCTTGCAATTATTTTAAATAATAGCAAAATTATAATCTACAATATATCTATAAGACTATAACTGTTCATCTAGGTTCCAAGGTCTCAGTTGTATATTTAAAAAGGTTCCCACAAAAAATCATTACGAATAATGTGGTTTATTTACTAATTACATGTTATTTAAATATCCTTATTACTGGTTAAACCGAGCTGGTACAATGTTTTACAATATATACCGGTAATATATCAGATATAATACAAACTTTACATAATATTATTAGTTTAAACAATTTACATTGTATATAATTTACACATGGATAATTTAATACATTTCTGGTATAAATTCTAATGTATAAATTCTTTATGCAAATTACAATTACAGTTAGTTTTGGCGCAAATAATTCACAATAAAATGACAATATTTTATATTGTTTTAATAAACATCAATAAAAGTAATGGCATTAATGACATTGTTTTCACTGTTTATCACAACATTTAACGCACTAAACCTGTTGTATTTGGTAGTGGCTATTGTGGCCATTATTCCGATCACGTTAGAGTATATGTGAGTATAAATATCTTATACAAAGATGATTTTTTGTGGCCTATAGCGAAAATAAACAAAATTACAAATAAACTTTTAAACAAATAATGTTTTAAAAATTACAATGATGATAACTTAAGTTTGTTTTTATAAAGTTTACATTGTTAAAATTGATTTTATTTTTTATTATTTAATTATAGCAAATGGTATCGTATATTGAATTACTGGTCGAAACGCAATATCTCGGGTCCAAAACCCATACCATATGTGGGAAATATGTTAAGCCTTGCCTTAAATGCGAGACCAGTTGTTGATATGGATTGGTATAAGACTTACGGCAAAACCCACGGGTAATAGAAATATATCTGTTATTATACATAATCAATAATTAACATAAATACTTTAATTATTATTATTTAATCAAATGCATAGCTTTTACGAATGGGGAGCACCCATACTAACGGTGTCGGACCCGGAGCTCATCAAACAGATTCTGGTGAAAGACTTTTACAAATTCCGTAACCGACGGCCAGTGCCGGGCAAAGGGACCGGCATTTTCTCAAAGACAATGCTCACGGCGAGGGATGACCAATGGAAACGGATCCGAGCCATAGCCAGTCCCACATTCAGCTCATATAAATTGAAACGCTTGTACCCACTCATCAACGAGTGTTGCCGTGACTTCTTGGCCGCACTCGACAGAGACGTGTCCACCGGTCGGACGGAAGTGGACTTAAAGCTAGTAATGGGCGCCTATAGTATGGATGTGATCGCCAGCACAGCGTTTGCCACCAAAACCAACCCTTATTTCTCAGCCAACAATCCATTTGTAATGAAAGCCAATCGCGTGATGAAAATCGTATTTTCACTCATAACGTGGCAGACATTTGTGGCAATGATTTTACCCACTTTTCTGACCAAAACCCCGGCGTGGAAACGGGTGGCCAAAGGGGTCCAATCAAACGCTACGTTTTTCATTGATGTCGTACAACGGCTAATGTCTGAGCGCAAGAAATCGGACAAAAAACGCAATGATTTCATGCAGTTATTAATGGATGTCAAGCGAGAGGACAACAACAACACGACGACGACGACTACCGGTGCCGGCGATGCTATGTCTGGACATCACGTGAACGAAGGCATTGACGAACTGATGGCAGAGAAACAGGCGTTGAGTGGAGTCGTGGAGAAGAAGTTAACCGAAGCCGAGATCATCGCTCAATGCCTACTATTTTTTGTGGCCGGTTATGAGACAACGGCCACAACTCTGGCGTATTGTTTGTATGAGTTGGCACTCAATCCCGATATTCAGGACCTGTTGGTGGCGGAGACCAGAGAGGCGTTCAATGAAAACACGGCAGACATAGACTACGAAACCCTTTGCCGACTCCCACTCCTCGACGCCGTTATATCGGAAACGTTACGACACTATCCGGTAGGGCTCAGGCCTATGAGGGAGGCCATGGAGGACGTGGTGCTGTGCAATGGTAACGACGGGTCAACCATTAAGATTGATAAGGGTTTGATTGTAGAGTTACCGTTGTATGCCATACATCACGACGAGGACTACTATCCCGACCCGTTTGCCTTCAAACCCGACCGGTTTTTACCCGAAAATCGCCATAACATCAAACCCTATACATACCTACCGTTCGGCTCCGGACCCCGTAATTGCATTGGTATGCGTTTCGCAATGCTTTCGATGAAACTAGTTGTGGCCAAAATGGTTCAACAATTCCGTGTCTATCGGGTGCCCGACACGGATGTGCCCGTAGTGTTCACTCCGGGTCGCAATCTATTAATGCCCGATAGACTTGTAGTGGGAGTTGCGAAACGTTAACACCGGTATAAATTTTATTAATGATTTGTTAATTATAATTATTATTAATTTTTGTAATTGGTGATGTAATTATCAGAGAAATCATAAAAAAAATTTGTTTAATGTTAAATTCATTTATATAGTTTTATAATTATAATAAAATACTGAAAAACTACAAATAAAATATTATTAAAATCTAAAAATCTAATAAAATTAATGTAAATGTATAAACATATGTTGTGTTTTGCACTTTATAATTAGCAATATTAAATTACATAAAACTATGTAATTTTTATAAACACAACCTAATGTAATAAATATTATAACGATTATTATAACATCTATGGCAATACTGTTATCATTAAAAATTATCAACAATATAAAAAGCATAACCATTTTTATTACACAACAGGTATAACTGAAATCAAACGTTTTTATACAGTAATTAAAACACAAGTAAATCAACCTTAATTAAAAACAAACAGTGAATCAAAACCTTTATGGTTGGCCACGAGTTAACCCGTTTCGTAGATCTGTCACCGGCGTTGGCCGAAGAGCTCACGTGCAGTATATGTCACCAGATCTACGACAACGCTGTGGACACTCCCTGTCGACACACCTATTGCTACGAGTGTCTCAACAAATGGGTCACTAGTAATGGCCCGTCGAGTCGCGAGTGCCCGGAGTGTCGACACCCGATCGGTGGCTACCCATATGGTCCGCCACCGCCACCCATAGGATCGCCATACGGACGGTCACAGCTGGCGAACCGACACCCGGTCTATCCCTGGCCATCAGCCTCTATGGTTACCCAATCATCGGCAGCTTATGAGCCGTATTACCCGTACGGCGTTGGGTCCGGACGTTACCCAACCGGACAGGTCAGCAGTCACTACGAGTGGCCGCCGACTAGTGGCCAGCCATCAACGTCAGCACCGGTACAGTCAGACTCGGGTAACACTCTCGCTATCGGCAATGATGTACGGGTGGAGCGAAACCGGAAAGTGGCCGGAATTGTGGCCAAACTGCGGGTGCGATGTGATTATCACCGCAACGGGTGCCCAGAGGTGACCACAATGGACGCGTTGGCCGGCCATCTGATCGCGTGTCAGCACCGGCTGTGTCCCACCTGTGAACTGGACGGCCAGTCCAGCGAACACGACTGCGCCGGTAATATGAGGCGCGCGATGGCGTCGATGCGGCGCCAGTTGTCTGAGTACGAGAGCCGTCACAAGTTGTTGGAGGAGGAGAGCAACGCGTTGGCCAAAGCGGCCATTGAGTTACAGTTAGCTCATCGCAAGTCCGACGAGTTGTGCCGACAGGTGCTCGAAGCCCACGAACGACTCACACGTTTGATCTCCAATGATAGACCTGAGAGAGAGAGAGAGAGAGAGAGAGAGAGAGATTATAAATCATCTCTTATAGTTAACATGATATACTTGTTTACGGTGTCTAATAACTTATATTGAAATAATTGTTATGATATCTATTGAATGACATATAAATTGTTTTGCATTATATAAGAGAAACAATAAATTCATTTTTGTGGTCGATTTCTCTCGACATATGAAAGTCAATTTATATCTGCATTTGTCATCCAATTTGTTCACACATTCATGAAATAAAACCACAAATAAATCATTATTGTTAGTGCCATACATATTATATTACAATATAATAGTGTAAATTATTGCCATCGGATATTTGCATATAATTTCAAATAATAATCAATTTTTAAAGAAAATACAATATCAGGTGATGTTTATTAATAGTGATATTTTTGTGATAATTAACAACAAATGTAAAATAAAACTTTCCGAAATTATTCATTAGTATTAATTAAATATAAAATAGCATAACTCTGCTTGAATATAAATTTTTAATAACACTTACACGTGTACAATGTAAATAAATTTATTGTTAAGTGAAAACATGTTTAAAAAGGTTTTGTAATATCAAATTTTCCTAAATTGTTGACAATACAACATTAAATGTATGTTATTTTTAATTATATTGACAACGGATTTATTATTAAATCCAATGGTATTGAAATAACACAATTATTTAAGTGTCAAAATTTTGATTTTTATAATATATTAATATTAAAAGTTTTAATTTAAAACATTAAGATGAAATATATTTTTGGACCTTATTATAAGGTCCTTATATTTTCTTTCTAAAAATAATTTAAGTTTATTTTTAGTTTTCTAATTACTTGATAATAAATTATTAATAATTATTTATATTTTATCTTAATATGAAAGAGAAAGAGAGAGAGAGAGAGAGAGAGAGAGAGTCTAATAAAAGTGAATATTGAAGTAATTGTGAGAATAATAAGCCTTAATAATCATCACTCGCTGTATATTATGTGATAAATTATTTTTAATTAAACTAAAGGCATCAGAAATTGATGGCAGTTTTGTGTGGCTGTCATGTAATATAAAACTTTCGCTCATTCCTGACAGACAATGAAAGATAATTAAACTAATTATTTATAATATAATCCAAATTATTTTGCAAACACTTTTTTGGCTCCGTTTCCGATGGACTCGCAGTTTGGGCACACTTTTTGTTGTTTGTATTATTCGTGCTTTAATTCAAACACTCTTTATATATAAATACGTTTAGAATTTTATCTTTTAATTAAAGGCAAACAAACGCTTAATAATGTATAAAAATAAAAAACCAAATTCTACTCAATTCTGGAAATACAAATAAAAAGTCCGGAATTTCTTTTTGTTGTTACACTTGAGAGACATTACATGAGAGAGAGAGAGAGAGAGAGAGAGAGAGAGAGAGAGAGTATTGGAATTTAATGAAAATGAGGAAATAAATTCCGAAATACAATGATCTGGCTTATCTCGTTTCAAAGTATAGATTATAAATGTGTATTTTATTTTTATTTCTGGTACTTTATTTGAGTAATTATTTCATTTAAACACAATCCATGATTATTTTATTTTTTTAATGGCTAACGTCAGTGATTATATCAAACGACGATTCATTCTTCAGTCTAGTGTATAATTGTTATAAATATTTACTTGATTTTTGGCTAATAAATTTTGGGAACAGCATATTCTGTAATATATGAGTTTGTAAGTAAGTGATACACAGCAACAAAAATGTCATTTATATAAATATTTATCACAATCTGCAATAATGTTGTGGAATATTCTGTTTTTCATTTTATTCATTAGATTAGGATTTAGTGTTAAATTCCGAGTTATTGCGAGTTTTCTCTATTGAAATACTGTTCACAACACTTCACGCAAAGCAAAAATATTTCCATTACACAGCATATAATATATACTCGTAAATGTAATCTAACTTAAATCAAAATTTATCTACATGGTTATTTACTGGATACAGTATATAGTGTGTATAGAATTTATTACATCACTATATTAAGTGCATTCAGTTTATTCGCAAACAAAGTGTGCTGTATATAAATGTTATTAATTTATTTTAACTCGTTTTAGTGTTTATGTTTGCAAAAATATATTCACTTTTTGTATGTAAACCATAGTTGTGTTTGTTTGCCACAAAAGTGTCTGTGTTTTGTTATACGGCTTTTGGGTGGCGGTTGTATTCAGACGGCAAACAACATATTTTATTTACCAAAACATTATTTTCAATATAAAAGTGAGATTGCATTTCACGCGAACCAATTGATCAAAATGTTTTTACGTGAAATTGTTGTGATATACTGTTTATGTTCAGTATTTACTGGTGACGGGTGTGGGAGTGGGGGTGGGGTTACTTAAAAGCACTCGGGGCTCAACAGGATTTAAGTATACAATATTATAAACATTCATATTTCGTGTATATTTATTGGAGAATAGAAAACCAAAACATGTTTTTATACATACAGAATATTCTTATGAATAATAAATAGTAATAATAAAACGCTTAATGAATAAATGAAAACCAAATGAACATACATGCAGTGTAGCGGTATATTATGTGGAAAAATACATTTTTAGTTTATTTATGATTATTATCACTGAAAAAATATATTACATTTTCTACTTTATATGCAATTTATTTTTTTACTGAGAAAATGTTACGATAAAAATGTTTCTCTCATCTAATCATATAATAGACGGTAAGGAATTGAATTCACAAAATATATCTCTAACTTTAACTCTAGGAGAGAGAGAGAGAGAGAGAGAGAGAGAGAGTCTGGAGGCCGATAGACTGCACAGTACATACATTGCTAACACATACACAGTCTATCGCACACACTGTAGAGTAGATACAGAATAACAACTACTTTTAAACCTTAATACAGAATATTCTGTTCAATTCTGTACAATAGTGTTCAGTACTATCTGTCTGTCTGTGTGTATAAATGGATGGAAAGTGTCATCAGATCAGAGCATATGTGATGATCGCAGAGCAGAGCACGCAATGAGTTGTGCACTCAATGCCTATGTTCTCAGCGTTACATCACTTCCCAAGCGATAACTGTTTGCTAGAATTCACTCTTAAAACTCTCTCTCTCTCTCTCTCTCTCTCTCTCTCTCTCTCTCGCTTTTCACATATAAAAACGTTTGTGAAAGTGATTGTAAGCTTAAATAGTTTGACACATCTCTCGATGAAACATACATTCATCGAAAGAGACGCTACTTTCTCTTTATCTATCTCTCACTCTCGTAACAAATAACACACACATTAAGACAATTAACATACATGTGTTTTAGTGCCACAAATTAATCATCTATTTGCCTAATGTATGTTAAGAATTGCGTGATTTACCATCAAATTTGTTTTGCTATTTGTAATAATTATTTCTTACTGTTTAGCATAATCTCAACAGAATTAGTCTAAAGAATCCGTTTTGATTGTCTTCACCGCTGTTTATACACTGAAGCAAATGCAAACTCAAAGCAAGACATTTAAATGGAAATTATTTCTATTTATTTGCAAATCTATGTATTTTTATTAATCATCAATTAATAAGCAATTATTATTACATCTGTAAAACTACTGCAAAAACATTAAAAGTGATGACAATATTA